TCTCTCTCTCTTTCTCTCTCTCAGTCTGTCTCTCTCTTTCTCTCATAGGGGCTCAGCAGGGTCGGTTGTCACCTCTCTCTCTCTCTCTGTCGCGCTCGCTCGCTCGATCGTGCCCTTTTTCTCTTCTGTCGCGGGGCCTGTTGCCCAGAACCCGTGCACCGTGAGCTTGGGACGCACCAAAGAAGACCTTGCAATGCAAGCTCTTGGTCGTAAAATGATGCGTTGACTGGGTCATGGCAACATGAAGTCGGGAGAGGCCAAGCGACAAAGTGGCACTCGATCTCAGTGATGGATCTCTCGGCAGCCGGAACTTGGCTTGATCCATGCCATCCATGGATGCAACGATGATGTTGCATTCATCTAGCGCGGCCAGCTCACCCAGAGTCCACAGCACGCTGCGATCACTGAACTGGCCATGGAGATGGGCTCGGTAGTGCACCATTTGCCCCAGCTTAAACTCGACAGTTGCTCGGGGGTTTGCCAGAGCCTTCTTGAATTGAAAACAGAGCTCGCACTGAGAAAACCTGAGTGACACAGAGCTGCAGTACAGTAAAGAGACTGTCCAGGTGTTATTTTTTGCAATCCAGCCACAAGGTCTTGTTGCGAAACTTCAGAATATCACTCCAGCGCGACTGGTACACTCGCAAGAAAGTGCTGTACCTCATGCAAACAAACTAGCACCGGGGAAACTTCATGAAAATGCCGTAATGTCAGCATTAGGTCCCACGTCCGAGTAACGAAACCGCAGTGGCAGCCGACATCATTCGACAGGCCAAGTAATGTTGGTAAAGATCGTTGACAGTGCCCGGATCGAGATACTTGCGGATCCTTCGGCCTTCATCACAGTGAAGCAAGGACCATGCAGGCCCCTTGCCCGTCGAGTCGAGCCAAGCGCCCACTTCCTCTGGTTCAACGTCCGAAACATCCCATTCCTCCCCGGGCTTGGACGCTCGGCCACGTCGGACGAACCTCCAAGAACACTTTGAAACCGGAAAGAGACTCTCATGATTAGCAATTACGTCTGATGCAATCCCGACTCATGTCAATCAGCCTGCCTATCAGGCAATGTTTCTGCCACACCGTCGTACATCATGCTTGGGAAAGCATCCACCGAGTACGTGCCAGATCTAGACTCCTGCTTGTTCTTCCCAAACCTGCAATCTGGAG